TATGGTACTATTTTAGATGCAGTTATGAATAAAAAAAAAATAGTTAAAATAGGCAGATCTTCCTTTTACAATTTCACCTTTAAAGTAGTACTAAGTAATACTAAATGAGCAGTATGGTAATAATAATTAAATAACTGCATTGACGTATTTTGTTTAGGAGAATCCATCCTCAACATACAGGATTCTGAAGACTATCCACATTCAAGATCACCATCATTTTCTATAGTTTCAGAGTTATCTGCCAATGATAGTGTTTCAGTCACATCATGTACGTCACATAGCCACAGTATATCACCTGTAGCAAAAAGAAAAAAAATCTCCATCATCCAGAAACAACCATAGATAAGTTTGTGATAAGAACCAGCAGATTACAAAAAGGGGTAATTGATGAAAAAATTGCCCGGTTTGGTTATGCAACAAACTCTCCTTTCCATATGATTGAGAACCCACACTTCATTAACATGATTCAGTCATTAAAACCAGGATACAGTCCACCCAACAGAGCAGATGTCACAAGCAAATTGCTGGATAAAGTGTATGAAAGAGAAATTGAGCAGTGTGCAAAAGGTCTAGAGGGTGAAATTGTTAACCTGAATCTTGATGGGTGGAGCAATGTCCACAATGATCCTGTTGTATGTGCTTGTGTAATAACAGAAGAAGGGAATGTCTTCCTTACAGAATCAATTGATATATCAGGAAATGCACACACAGCAGAATACTTACAAGAAGTAGCAGTAAAAGCTATAACAAACAGGGGGGAAAAAAATCAAATGTCTAGTAAGCAGCTTAGTCACAGACAATGCTGCAAATGTATCCAAGATAAGAAATTATTTAGAGGAGAGTGAAGAGTCCCAAGCTAATAACATACGGTTGCAGTGCTCATTTGATGCACCTCCTAGCCAAAGACTTCAGTGTTCCAGAAATAAAGGCTAATGTTGTGGAAATTGCAAAATACTTCTGTAACAACCACTTTGCAGCAGCTGCTCTGAAAAAAGTGGAAGAAACCAAGCTAACTCTCCCACAAGATGTACGATGGAACTCAGTAGTGGACTGTTTTGAGCACTATATCCAGAACTGGCCTAATCTGATGATAGTTTGTCAACAAAATCGTGAAAAAAATAGATGGCACTGTCACAGCCAAAGTTCTTAACATTGGACACATCCCGAGGACCCTGAAGCCTATTTCTGTAGCCTTGACCAAAATGCAGGGAAATAGCTGTTTTATTGCTGACGCTGTTGAAATTTGGAAGGAACTGAGAGATCTTAAAAGAGGAATATGCAATGACAGAGTTAAATTACAAGCATTAAAAAAAACAAATGGGACAAGCACTAACTCCAGCTTTCAGAGTAGCAGCTGTGTTAGTCTGTATCCACAAAAACAGGAGTACTTGTGGCACCTTAGAGGCTAACAAATTTATTTGAGGATAAGCTTTCGTGGGCTACAGCCCACTTCATCGAATGCATAGAATGGAACATATTGTGAGGAGATATATATACACATACAGAGAACATGAAAAGGTGGGAGTTGTCCTACCAACTCTAAGAGGCTACTTAATTAAGAGAAAAAAAAAACTTTTGTAGTGAAGCTCATTTTCTTGCAAATATTCTCAATACTCGGTACCAGGGTCAAACCTTAACTGCTGAAGAAGAGGAGTTGGCTATGACATGGACATCTAGCAATCATCCCTCCATAACACCAACTATAATAAAGCTTCAGAGCGAAGGGTGAACCGTTCAAGAAATCTATGTTTGCTGATAATGTTTTAAAGAAAGTCACACCAGTAAACTGGTAGTAAAGTGGAAGTCACTTAAGCACTTGGATTCAGAGACTGTTGAAGTGATAATCTCACTTTTAAACGGCAGAAGAAGCTACTGGCAGTGTAGCAAGAATATTTTCTTCCTTTGGACTAATTCATTCCAAATTGAGAAATCCTATGGGACCTGAAAAAGCAGGAAAGCTTGTTTTTCTTTTCCAGATTATGAACAAAACAGGTAAATGAAGGTGAAGACGACTGAGTTAGATGCAAAAGCCAATATTTTAAGTTTCTCGTGTTGACCTGGCTGTCAGAGTTCATTTAATTTTTTTTTAATTCATTTAACTATTTTAGTTAAAAACAAAACAACAACAAAAAACCCCACCTCATTTAAAAAACTTTAATGTTTAACTAAATTCAAAAATTCATATGCCTGTTTTGTTAAAAATATAGTTTGCTGTTGAAGGAAAGAATACATGATGTTGTTGTTTTAGTTAAATAAAACAATTTACATGTCTGTCTGGTGATGTTCTCCTCCTAAGACAGCATGGCAAGAGAAGCCTACAAATATTGATTAGCCTGTTGACTTAGAGATAGTTCACCTCCCAATGACTTCATAAATATCTGCTTCAATTACCTTTCGCAAATGAAATAACCAATCATTCATTTTCTGATATAGCTGTAAAACTAATCTGAAAAGTTTTCAAAATAAATCACTTAAAAAAAGTATCATGTGTACCTTCTGAAAATGAAACCTACATCTATCTCCGAGTTGTGAAGAATATGTATTAAGGTTATAACAACCAACAAGAATGCACTTTTATGTAGAAAGCCATGATTAAATAGAGTCTTCCTGACAAGTGATTTAAATCAATTTGATTTAAAAATCAAATGCACCCTGGGAAATAGTAAAAGGATAAATCAAATTTTCAGATAAGAAACTGACACAGCATCAGTCAACTGAGACTCAGTACTGCATGGCCCTGTTTACAGTAACAAGTGTAAGCAATTCTTCTGAGGCAGTTTCTATACATTTTAGCCTTGTATTAAACAAAAAAGTGTGCCCCAAGAAGTCATTAAAAACAAATACAGGATAGGACAATTTCATGAACAATTAAGTATTAGGACCAACCACCATAGGATAGCAGTCAGTAAAGTATCTTGGATGCTACTTCAAAGAACCTAGCCATCAGAGGATAAGACCAATTCTGACTAGCGAGATCAGAAAGTGTATGAATGTCAATTGCATCCAGAGACAGCTAAATCCCAGATGTCTGTGAAAGTCTGCTGGCTGATTTCTCAACATTGTATGGATATGGATAACAGTTGGATATCAACAGATAAAAGAAGGTTTAGCTATTTAGTGATGATTTTTGATTACATGCAAATGTTAAACCGGTGATACTCAGAAATCAGTGTTTCCGGAGCTAAATTAGCCATCAACGTTACCCAAGAGACACACAGTAGTGTGAATTCACTGTTTCATTTTCTATACTACTATATATCTATATTATTCTCACAGAAAATAAGTTAACTAATTACATTATCAACTTGCATTAAGTTAACAACATAGTGAAAGCATCCTGATTGGTTAATAAAAAAAAAAAAAAAAAAAAAAATACACACAGCGTTTTAATATCATGTGCTGCAAAGAGCCACAGGCAACACATTAAAAAGCCACTTGCGGCTCACAAGCCTCAGTCTGAGTATCACGGTGTTAAACCAAGTGTCAGAAAGGGCTCCTTCCAGGCTTGCCCCCCTTAAAATATATCAGCAAGCACCTGATATTTTAAGTGGGAAAAACTGTTGTACCATTTAGCAGGTATCATCTGTTAGATGGGTGCAGGCAGACTTCTGACAATTCCCTGTGATGGCATGAGACCAACACTGGTGGACACCAGTCCTTCCTTCCCCCCAACCCAAGAACATTTGACAATCTTCATTTCCCATTATGCAGTCTGACTCTAGGCACCAATACAGTCAACATCCATCCAACACAAATTAGATTAAAAAAATAGCAGCTCTCACTGCTTAGTCTATGATGATGCAGTTAGGATCTCTCTTGCCTCTGGAGTAGCAAAACCCTTTAAATGCAGTTTTAACAACTTCCCTTTTTATCAGGAGCTGTCATAGTCATAACTAAAGACAACTGACTCAATGTATTTGCACACGTACAAATGCTATGAGAACCTTTGCTCCAAGAACATGGTGGCAGATCGCTATCGTGCTAGAGCTTACCACAAGTTTTACAGCTTCTCCATCATTATCGCACTGTACTGCCCATGAGTAATTTAGCCTGACTGAAAACTTATTTTATTTAATTGTATTAATTGTATTTTTTTAAGTGTATTAATTGTATTGGAATACTTACCAAATTTGTAGCTTAATTTTCTTTCCATCTAGTTCTATTGTTCTGATTTTAAAATCAATTCCTGGCAGAGAGAAACATATATTAAGTTTAATGACAAAAGGAAATAAATATTCAAATTGCTATTGATTGCTCTGAAATAAAGTACAGGTCATGATAGGCAAGCAGTAAAGATTCTGAAGCTGTTGCTCTCAAAATTACTCTGCTGAATTTGTACAGAAAACCAGACACTGAAGTTAATGGCGCTATGCTAGTTTACACCAGGTCAAGATCTTTCTACTTATTTATACTGTAGGACCAAAGCTTTCAGAAGTAGCCACTAATTTTGGGTGCCCAACTAGAAAGGCCCAACTGTCAGAAGTTCTGACTACCCTGAAGTTTAACCAAAGACCATGAGAGTCCTGGGTGCTCAACGCCTCTGAAAAATTAGGCCTTACAGTACCTCAAACTGGCCTTCTAATATTAGTGGCTACTTTAGAATGAAATAAGCCCAAACTTTCAAATCAGAAGCTGCAATAGAGGGGAAGGGCACTTCATAGCCAAACAAAAGGAAAGTGTTACTCTTATCTGCAGACCAGATATATAGGCTGGTCCATAAATGAGGCCTACTGCAATAGATCATGGATCTCTCACACACACGCTCTATATAAAAGCACTCATAGCTCACTTTTCAAAGTTTTACCGCAAGTCTTGTTTTCTAACTTAAGTCATAATCTCACAAACGTAGTAAGGAAATGCTACATGTTAGTTCTGTAGTTACAAAAATAAGTAAGTTGCATACACTATGAGTAAAACTGGCAGTAACTCATATATAACTTATGGGTAGAATTTTCAAGATCACCTATTAGAGTCTGAGAATGTAATCATGAAAACAACGGATCTAGGCGTTAAGACCATGATTTCCAAACTGATTTGGGCATCTTGGTTTTTGGATGTCCAACCTGATAACTTAAGATAGAAGTGACAGGATTTTTTATATTGCAATTGAATTTGAAGATGACATCAGTATGCAAATACATCAATCACTTGAATTTTGACTTACACACTCAGGAGGTGGAAACATTTTGATTTAGTGAAGATGCCACCAAATTTCAGCTGTTCAATATCAGATGTAATGAAAGGAGGATATGAAATTTAAAGCAACAGTAGTTTGTAGTGACAACATACATTCTTACAAACCACCACATTAATATTTTGATACTGCATGAACATAATGTAATGACTAGCTATAGTCAACTCCAGATATTTTTTATTATTCATGATTCATTAACAAGTTTCAAAGTTATTGAGAAAATTAGATTAGTTCATGAACTTCATTTTAATGTCAATTTAGTGGGGCATTCCTGTTACTGATTTTCATGTCCTTACAAGTTACGCCCAAGATTACGATAACTGAAATTAGAAAAGATAGATATTTTCACTTAACATTTGATAGCACTGTGCGTCCTGCACCCTGTTAGTTTCTATAATCAGAGTCTCTTGTTATTGGAGAGGTGTGTGTTTAGAGCAACAGGAGAGAGAGAGAGAAAAAAAATGTTAAAAATATGAATGGATTTTTAAAAAATTCAAAGTTTCTACATTTGGAAACATTCTGAATGCCATTGCAAAGCCCTTCACAGATGCTGGAATTTAAATTTAATGTTTTTACTAAAACTCAAGACAAATGCAATATCCACTTCTCTTCTAAAAAATTGCTATTGTACATAATATTATTTTAAGTCAGAGGGTTTTAAGAGATCCTTATTCATCATCTCTACGCCTGAAGTTTTAATGCTAATTATAATAACTGTTATGCAAAGAAAAAAAGGTTCTGAAACTAGTGTGGTTTAAAATCATTAGTTCATAATGCACAAGAAACAAAGACCACACCAACAAGAGCTGAGTTTGACATTTCAAATAAAGCCCCAGAAGGGGCAGGTTTCCTGAGGAATGGGCATATGTTACACGCTCAAACCAAGCACACTGTGTGCCCAGATCCACTCTGGTAAACACTGGCTATTCTCTTATGGTTAGTATTTTCCCATGTACTAGGAAAAGATTTATACAACCATAATCTGACCTACTCTAAAACTCAGGATTTCTTGGCACAAAACAGCTCTACAGAATAAAAAGGACCGTGTTAAATGTATCTGCACTGAAAGTGAAAAATGTTAATAATCTAAAAACAAGGAACAGGTGGTGAGAAAAACCATGAGCCTCACAGTTACAATGAGAAGTACATAAAGAAAATCAAATAAGTGACTGCAGCATTCTGAAAAGCTTAAGTGAACTAGACACTGACATTTCCTTTGTTCTTCACTACAGTAACAGGAAGTGGTGAGCTGCACCCATTTAGCGCCGATCTAATGACATGTGCTACCACTTCCTGCTGTATACATTGCATGGCTAAGCATGTGCAGCACTTTGGTTACTGAAGTCAGGTTATGGCATAACATATCGCTGAGGCTCCAACAACATTTCATAGGTTGACATACCAACTTGTAAAAAGCCATTTTCATTTCAGTAACATAGCAGCTTTTTACACACACACACACACACACACACACACACACACACACACACACACACACGTACGTTACCACTACC